CATGTCAAACTCGTCGTCTGCGGCAGCGGGGGGCGGCGGCAGCGCATGGCGCGCGAGCGGCTCGTGCGGTGGGGCAGGGGCGGCAGGCAGACAGGCAGGCGGGCAGAGGCGTGCAGGCGTGCAGGCAGGCGTGCAGGCGTGCAGGCAGGCAGAGTCAGGCAGGCGCTGCCCGCTGCTGGGCCCGCTGCCACCTCCCACCCACTCCATCAGCCCCCCAGCGCCCGGCACGCCCCCTTACTCCCCCCGCCACGCCCCCTTACTCCCCCTGCCCCGCCACCCACCCGACTCGTGGACCTGCCCCGCCCCGTACGGGTCCTCATCAAAGTCGTCTGCCTCCGCCGCCGCCGCCGCCTCCGCCAGCTTGTGCCTCTGCGCCAGCTCAGCCAGCAGGTCGGGGTTGCCCAGGTCGGACAGGTCATCATCCACCTCCTCGCCCTTGATCATCCTGTCCCTGCGGGAAAAGAGCGGGAGGCGGGGAAGGCGACAGGCAGGGCTGGCGGGCGCGTGAGGCGTCAATGGCAGCTGGGGCAGGAGAGCGCAGCGGCGCTGGGGAGTGCAGCCCAAGGACGGCACGCTGTTTATGCCTCGTGCGCTGGCTCCCCCCCGCCGCCCCCGCCCTCAGGTACGTCCCACCTGAGCGTGGCGAGCCGCTTGCGCACCACCGCGCGGTGCTTGCCGTAGTAGACCACCACCTTGAGGCCGGGGCACCAGCGGCGCAGCTCCCGCTGCCAGTTCTCCAGCAGCGAGGCGGGGACCACCACCAGGTGGGGGCCCGGGTCCTTCTCCAGGTGGCGGATGCAGCCTGCGGGGGGAGGTGCGCGTGTGTGTGCGTGTGCGCGTGCATGTGTGTGTGTGTGTGTGTGTGTGTGTGTGTGTGAGAGAGAGAGAGAGAGAGAGAGGGGCGAGGGCTGGCGGGGCAGCCGGGCAGCCACACCGTCGGCCCCAGCCGATCCCGCGGAAGCGCCCGCAGGGAGCGCTGCTGCGTGGCGCGACAGGAGGGAGGGCGTGCATTCCCCCACCACACACCATGCCCACCACGCAGCCCCCCGCCCACACAGGCACCCGCCCGCCCGCCACCCACCCAGGTACGTGATGAGCTGCGCCGTCTTGCCCAGCCCCTGCGGGACACACGGCAGCACACGCGCGTGAGGCACAGCGCTGCTGCACTCGCTGCGCGCATGGGGGCAGCCCTGTGCAGCATGCCACCAGCTGAAACCCCGCGCAGCTTCCGCCCCGGCTGCCTCACCATCTCGTCCGCCAGGATGGCGCCGCTGACCTTGGAGCGGTACAGGAGCAGCAGGAAGTTGATGCCCACCTGGGGCGGGGGGATCAGGTGCAGGGGCCACGCGCAGGCAGCACGTGTTTGCGGCAGCGGCGGCAGGGGGGGGTTGTGGAATTCTGAGGGCAGGCCAGGCGCGCTCCAAAGGCAGCGGGGCGCGCTCGCCGCGCCTGCTCGCGCCGCCACCCGCCCCCCCGAGCCCTGGGCCCCGCCTCACCAGCTGGTAGGGCTTGAGGTAGCGCGCCGTGTCGCCGCACGCCTCAATCATCTCCGGCTGCTCCACCTGGTGGTACTCCACCTCGCCCTCGTCGTTGGTGGCGCCAAACCTGCGCCCCGCGGCGCCACCGGCACGCATGCGGCGGTGGGCGTGCAGCAATATGGAACAGGCTGGGCTGGGTGGGGGCGCGCCGCGGCGCAGGACAGCCAGCCACGCGCGCCAGGGCCGGCGCAGGCCGGGCGCGCGTCCCCTGTCCGCCGCCGCCGCCGCGCGCCGCGCCGCCGCGCACCTGTCGCCGTCTGTGTGCTTGCCCAGCGTCTTGCGCAGCATCTTGGTCACCTCCTCACACCGCCGCATCACCTCATCCGCGTGGTCCTTGGCCGTCGTGTCCTCCGCCACAAACTGGTGGTCGTAGTCGGTCTGGCGCCCCTTGTCCACGCTCACGCGCATCTGGTAGGCGGCCGCTGCGGCGTTGAGCTGGGCGGCGTTGTACTGCCCCAGCGCGCCCATGCCCATCTGCGGCGGGGCGGGCAGGGGAGGCAGGGTGGGCGGGTGGGGGGCTCACAGCGGGCATGCCCGCATGCAGGCGACTGCAGCGCCAGCAGGCCGCCTGATGCCGGCAGGCCAGCAGGAGGGGAGCAGGCGGCCAGCCGGGCGGGGGTACACCTCCAGGCCGGCAGGCCGCCAGGCGGGCAGCGGCCAGCACCTCCCGACAGCCCCCGCCCAGCCCCCGCACCTGCTGCTGCCTCTGTAGCTGCATGAGCAGGCTGAGCCCCTGCTGCTGCTGCTGCGAGTTGCCGGTGGCGGCCATGACGCCGGTGAGGCCCGCCGGCACGGCGCCGTACTGCTGCTGTACCTGCACCTGCTGCACCTGCTGGTACGACATCTGCTGTGCGTACCGCGGGTCGACGGCCTGCCGCTTGGCCGGCGGCTCGCCCTGCACCACGCCAGGCGGGCAAAGGGCCGATCAGCACGGCAGCGCGACACGGTGCCAACAGTGGTGACGCCTTTGCCACCGGAGGCGTCTGCCCCGGACCCCACACCCTCACCTGCGCCCCTAGGCTGCCTGCCATGGCGTACGGCATGCTGACGTTGGGCATGCTGGTGGGCACCGCGCCCGGCATGCCCGCCAGCCCCGCCAGCGCCGGCGAAGACTGCGCACCGCCCGTCGCTGCCTGCCGCTGCTGCTGCTGCATCATCATCATGTTGAGCAGCTGCTGCTGCTGCAGGTTGATGGCCGTCGGCCCCACAGCCTGCTGTGGGATGCCGCCCTGCGGCCCCGCAAAGCCGCCGGGGTAGGCATAGGCAAGGTTCTGCTGCTGCTGCTGCTGCTGCTGGAACGAGGCGGGCGTCAGGCCGCTGGCCGCACCCGCGCCGCCCGACCCTGCGGCCAAGAACGGACGGTTTGGGGCGTTCAGCGGCGGTCAAGGCCCGATACAAGCTCCAGGAGGCAGCCCAAGGGCCTCGGTTGGGGGTGCTTGGAGCCGAGTGAGCAGTCATGCGGGAACCACCAGAAAGCCCGCAGAACGGCTGCAGGAGCAAGGCTGACCACAGCCCTTCACCAGCTGACACCTCAAAAGTTTGCATGGCCCGGCTGCTGCGCTCACCACGCTCGCCGGGCCCCGCCTGCGCCAGGCTCCCCAGCCGCTGCTGGGTGGGCTGCTGCACAGGGGGCGGGGCTGTGTCCTGCAGTAGCGACATGAAGGACACAGGGGCTTCGCTCCCGCCCTCGCCATAGCCATCCATTTCCCGTTTGAGGGCCGCTATAGCTATTTGCCGCTGCAACTGGGCAGCTGGGTGGCCAGCCTGGCCCCTAAGCTGCTGAAACTGATAAACAGCAGTCGATCACCGAGTTGAAAGGCGCGCGACAAGTGCTGCAGACCAGGCAGGGGCCTGCAGCTGCTGTCTGGCAGTTTCAAGCCAATGGGTGGATGTGGCAGGGCGCAATGCGCTCCTGCAGGCTGCGCTGGCTGCGTTCTATGCGGCGCTTGCCTTCGTGCTGGAAGGCGCAGCACTCGCAGCACGGGATGACCATGGGGCGCCATCAGAGCGGTCACAGGGCTGCTGGCTGAGCCCCCTGGCCTCGCCGTTTCGCATCGCTTGCTGTGGGCCTCGACTGCACCCCTCGGCTGCCAGCAGTTCCCTGCAATAACCATGCGGCCCGCAGGCCTGCTGCATCGAGCTGCAGGCCTCCCATCTGCAGGCAAGGGAGCGCTGGGGCACACGCATTGGCCACTTGGTCCCACCTGCACTGGCTGGGTCTCGGGCTGTGGGTGCCAGCCCCCCTGAACACCTCTCTACCCTCCCCACACCACCGTGCAGGCCTAGCCACGCAACGAAGGCCGCGGTATGGTTCGACGGTCAGGGCGCAGGCAGCCAGCGCGACGGTAGTGCCGGGGCGGTGGCTAGGCCCGCTGACGGGCGTGGCGGAACAGCAGCAGCAGCAGGAGGAGGGCCCTCCTGTGTATGGCGTGGAGCTCACATCAGACCAGTGGGACCCGCTGGGCCTGCACCAGACCGTGCTCAAGGTGGGCAGCTGCAGGTGGCACACGGCCATACGGCACACGCCTCCTGAAGTGGTCGCGATGCAGCCTGCCGCATCCACTGCGAGGTGCTGCCAGTGCTTGCCAGACCAACTTGTGCTGATGATGCGCATGCGTCCACCCGCATGCCTGGGTGCAGGCAGAGACGCGCGGGCGAGGCCAGGCGCTGAGCAGCGTGTCGGGCGATCAGGAGGGCGCCACCTTTGGCGACTTCATCGGCGGCGACCTGCCCAAGAAGCTGGCGCTGCTGCTGGTGCGCGCGCTGCCCTGCTTGGCTGCAGGCTGTCGGCACGGTGGCTTGCGCAGCATGTGGCGGCACTGCTGCTGGCGGCCGAGTGCAGCCGGGTCGAGCAGACACAAGATCACTGCGCCGAGGAGCAGCCGTGCATGCTGGTGCGCCCGCTGACGGCGTGGGGCTGCGCTGCCTGCCCTCGCGGCGTGATGTGCAGGGCCTGATTGTGTTCAGCCGGCTGGGTGTGTACCTGCGGCTGCCGGGCGTGGATGTGGATGCGTTCAGCGAGGCCATGGCGGGGTCCGGCATCATGGGATACATCGACACGCTGAGCGGTGGGCGAGGGCGGGGGGTAGCGTGACTGTGCACGCGGCGCTGTGCCGCCGCAAGGCCGAGACCCAGCTGCTGCTGTGGCTCAGCGGATCCCAGGAGGGGAGCCTCATGCCTTGCCATCAGCCTGCGCATGCCGCCGCCCCCGCCCCCACACACACCGACCCCGCAGGCGGCTCCATCTCCAAGGTGGGCGTTTTCTCTCTGGGCATCGTGCCCTACATCAACGCCTCCATCCTGTTCCAGCTCCTGGCCACCGCGTTCCCCAGCCTGAAGAAGCTGCAGCGGGAGGAGGGACCGCAGGGGCGCGCCCGCTTCCAGCAGTACCAGAAGCTGGCGGCGCTGGCCTTTGCCGTGGCCCAGGCCGCCGGCCAGCTCACATACCTGCGCCCGTACGTCGCCGACTTCTCCGCCGGCTGGCTGGCCGAGAATGTGGTGCTGCTGACGGCGGGCGCCATGATCCTGGTCTACGTGAGCGGTGTGGGGTGGCGCGTCGCGAGGCGCCAGCCCGCTCGCTGTGCATGCGGCTGCCACCTTGGCGGCGCCAGCTCATTGCTGGCATGGGAAGGGGGAACAGGGCCCAGTGGCTGCCGTCCCCAGCCCTTGCTGCACCCGCGCCCTTGCCCCGCCCCCACCCTACTACACCCCCACACTCGCCCCCGGCGCAGGTGGCCGACACCATCACCGAGCTCAAGCTGGGCAACGGCACCTCCATCCTCATCTTTGCCAACATCGCCTCGGCGCTGCCCACCAGCGTGGGCGCCGCGCTGACGCAGGCGGCCGACAAGGACACCTCCGTGCTGGGCGTGTACGCGCTGTCCTGGTTCCTCACCACCCTGGGCATCGTGTACGTGCAAGACGCGGAGCGGCAGATCCCCATCACCTACGCCTCGCGCTACCGCGCCGGCGCGCTGCAGCAGCAGGCCTACCTGCCCTTCAAGGCGCGGCGGCTGTGGTGTGCTGTTGCGTTGGGCGTCCCCTCAAGCCTCGCCTCCTTGCCTTGCTGACGGCACATGCTGGCGGACCTGCCCAGGCCTCACCGCCAACACATGCTGCCGCACCACACACCCACCCCGCCCCGCAGGTCAACGCCACTGGCGTGATGCCCGTCATCTTCTCCTCCTCCCTGCTGGCCCTGCCCTCCTCCCTGGCCCGCTACGCAAACGTGCCCGCCCTCGAGTCGGCGGCGGTGGCGCTGTCCCCCTCCGGCGCCCTCTACCTGCCCGCCAACGTGGCGCTCATCGTGGCCTTCAACTACCTCTATACCTTCCTCCAGCTGGACCCCAAGGACCTCAGCGAGCAGCTCAAGCGCCAGGGCGCCTCCATCCCGGGCGTGCGCCCCGGCCGCGCCACCGCCGAGTTCATCACCAAGACGCTCGACCGCATGTCGGTGCTGGGTGAGGCGGGGCTGGCGCGGGCGGGTTGGGGGGGCGGACCTGGGGCCCAGGCTGGTGGGGGGCGGGGTGGTGGGGCCGGGTGGGGCGCGTGCCCGGTGCGCGCCTGCCCCAGGCGTCGCCGTGCTGCCGGGCAGGCCTGCCTTTCGCCCTTCATTGCGTGCGCGCACTGTGCAGCAAGCTCCCCCTTCACGCCCATGCGTCTGTCCCGCCCACCCTCCCCGCCGCCCCGCTGCCACCAGGCTCGGTGTTCCTGGGCGCGCTGGCGGCGGCGCCTGCGCTGGTGGAGAGCGTGACGGGGCTGCAGGCGTTCCGCGGGTTTGCGGGCACCTCTGTGCTGATTCTGGTGGGCGTGGCCACAGACACGGCACGCCGCTTCCGCTCAGAGCTGGCCATGTCCAAGTACAAGGTGGGCGGGGTGCCCTGGGCGCGGCACGGCACCCGGCAACCTGGCGTCCCCAAACGTACGATTGCGTGCTCGGCCCCACGCGCCCGCATCGGCGTCCCCTGCGCACCTCCTCTGGCCATTTGTGCAGGACATCGACCGCCTCTACGACGACCTGCGCTGAGCTGGCGTGGCGGGCCAGCACGAGCACGAGGAGCAGCCTGGGCTCACGCCGGAGACTGTGTGTGCAGCGGCGCATGTGGCAGCCGGAGGCAGTACCAACCGCTTTGCACCGTGCCTGATGCATGCATGGATGCGATAGCCATGACTCCTGCAGCTGCGTCCTCACTGGCCAAGTGCCTGGCCTACAGCAGGAGAGTGCTGCGGGGCTCCTTGCGAGGGGGTGCAGCCCGGCGGCGGCAGTGGGGGGGCGAAGAAGGACGGGTGGACGGGTGCCCCTGGTGCCTCCTGGCCGCCGCTGAGCATGTCTTCTGACCGAGTGCAGCCAATTGGGGCTGCCAGCTGCCAGAAAGGTGGAGTTTGAGTGGCAACATGCCGCCTCAGGCTGACCGCTCAGGCTGCCGCTGCAATCGGTCGTGGTGGCCATCCGTGGCCCAATGAGGCTGCGGACCCGCCTATTCGCTCCATTCTTCTTGAAGCTAGATTTCTTCCGCACAAAATCTTGGGTGTGCACGTCACCTCGGGCAACTGCCGGCTGGACCTATTACCAACCGCGGTTGCAATCCTGGATGTGTCACACCAGTCTGTGCTACAACACTGCAAGCGATCGGGAACCTCAGGCCCGCACAGCTGTCTGCAAGGCCACCAGCCCTGCAGCCATCCCACCACTCTGAGCGGCCAGCAGACCAAAGCGGTGAGCCAGACGTCGTTGTTGCACCGGATGGGCGGCCCTGCAGGCGAACAGCGCCCTGTTGCCGCCGTTGACAAGCGCCGGTCTCTGCATGGTGCACAGATTGTTTGCGCCCCTCCTGGGCGCCCCTGCCGTCCATCCTGTTTGCTTTGACCTCCTCAGCGCGGTGCATGATTGCCGGATCGCTGCCATGCCCCCGCAAAGCCCTACGCGCATGCCCTTGCACGTTTTGTGTCATCCCCCCTAGGCGCCCGGCCGCGCCTCCTGTGGGCCCCTCTCCCCTCCAACAAGCTCCCCGCCCCCTCCCTCGCCCTTGGGATTAGTATTGCATTGCTTCCGCCCCGCTGTTGCCGAGCGGACCTGCCCTTCACCCAGGTCGAAGCCAAGGCACGCGGTGCTTTTCTCTTCCCTCTTCTTCCCTGGGCCCTCGTCTCCTCCATCGCACATTACATCGCGCTC